GCATACTCAGAAACCTATAGAAAGAAATATATAGACAGATATAAAAAGTTTTGCACAAAAGATCAATAAGCCACTCGCAGATGTGGATAAACCAGTTGCAGGAAAAAGGTTAATTGGCTACTAGAAAAAAGTGAAAGCTTTTTGCAAACGCCATCGAAATTGTCATAAGAAACTAAGCAAAGATGGAAAAACATAGTTATTTACTTATTTTCTCAATATTTAATTAATATATAAGCTATGTTTAGGAAATATAGAGGTTAATGTAATTTTTTGGCATCTTATGCATCTCATTTATTATCTTAAAGGAAGTTACAAATCGAAGTGCATCTATGATCATATTTGGCTTTTTTAAACAAAAATCAGAAGAGATATACAGAATTTCCATGCCAATCATGTAACGACTCTTCATTATATTATAGTGATTACTCTAGGAGACATCCATTATATTTGACGTTATGTTGAATATGACATCAGATGGCGCAGTGGTAATTTAAGTTAAATGACATTTTTATTAGCTCTATTAGTATCTAACTTTCTCTTCCTTACAATGTAGAAATACAAAGCTGAAGATCAACTATTAAAATCATTAAAGTTCACTTTTTAATCATATTCTGTAATAAAAAATATACCATTTATCTGGTCAGTTGTTATTATCATTCTGCCATATAAAAAAATTGTTTAAAGAAATTAGAAAGTTTGTCAAATTATACCAGAAATATCATCAATACACTCCTAAAATTGACAAAAGGAGTCCAAAGAGTTGTGTTATTTGTTGAGTTAAATATTTTGGTCACAGGCTAGTTCTAGCTATTTAAAGCATTTAGTAAATGACATATCATTATGGGAACTTTGTAATGGCGATTTATTACCAATATGAATTCATTTTATGATTCTTCAAGATTTTATGCTTTTATTGACGCAAAAAGTTCAGTTATAAAAACATAGTAATTGGGTTTTAACAGAAAGAACTTGAAAGAGAATTACTTTTGACTAAATATTATTATCAAGTAAGTACTCAATGAAAGAAATCTTTTGTCAAGTGCAAGATAGGAATAGAAGAAAAAGTCATGTCATTCCCTTATTTATACTTCAAATTTGAAATATTACCTTTTTTTTATCTTCAATTAATATCTCAATCCTAGATATTTTGTTCTTAACTACTCATAAGTAATTCAATTCCTGTAAAAATAGTAATATCTTTATTAAAAACAGGTTTACATTTAGATATCTTTAAATAAAAACTGTCTGTCTAGCCTAGATTGTTCAACTATAAGAAAACCAGTTTCTTATAAATTGTTCAAAAAGCAATATATTTTCAATTGTTCAAATGGTACTTGTTATTGAATGAAAAATATCTATAAATACTGTAAATTTTCCAAACTTTCAACATAAAAGTTTTCAAAATGAAACTTTTAAGTCTTACTTTACTTTTTGTACTCTGTACTTGCAATGTTCTAGCGAATCCTTCGCTATCTTCTCTTCTTCAAGAATTAGAGGAGAGAAATGAAGGACTCGTTGATAATCAAATGGTTGGAGAAGAACTATTCAGAGTATAATTTTTAATAATTAACGCTCTATTCATCTATATTTTTATTTCTTTTATGTAGAGATCGGATCCTGATGAAAATGAAATTCTTCGTGGTATTGATGATGATGATAATGAACAGAACAATGATGATGATGAAAGCAATCTTGAAGATAGGGAAGAAGATGATGAATTAGAATTGATGCTTAGAGGCAAAGAAACTAAATTTTGGTGTAAAGCTTGCAAAGTAAATCCAAATGCTGACAGATGTCCCAGAATCGCTAAAATATGCAAGGTCGACTACAATATAGAATACCCTCCTCCGAAACCCAAAAACGGAAGAGCACGTAGCGGAAGAGCACGTAGCGGAAAAAGACGCGGTGGAAGAAGAGGAGGTAGTGCAAGAAGACATCGCGGAAGAAAAGGTAGAAGATGGTAAAGAATGACAACAAGAGAAAGAATGGAAATGTTTAACATAAATAACTCTAACCCTGCTTTTTTACTTTTATACTAAAATTTTCCAAATAAAAATAATGAATGCAGAAAATATGATTGACATGACATTTTTTATTTCTCTTAGGATATTTATGAGCAATTTTTCTACCTTAGAAGTTGATTCATATGTTCTTTTCATAAATATCATTGAAAGATAATATCCACTTCACCCCATGTAATTTTGGGTATAAAATTTGAAAAATCACCTATAATTTCAAATATTGAGTTCTGTCCTAGTTATTTTTTACCCACATAATGATATTTGCACTAACGGTTTGGAAAACTAGTTTCTTTTTATTCTCTTTTAATAGACTGCTCAAATGACTTACATAGACTTGTTTTCTTTAAAAATTGCACTTTATAGGCCTAATTTAAAATAACGTATCTTCTTTCAATAATACAAAAAAAGTCTGTTGTGTTTTGTTGAGTAGTAAGTTAGTAAAGTTATAAAAGATTTATCGACTGAAAGAAGATTGTCAACTTTTGAAAAGTTAACTAGAATTGATATTAGACTGGTAAGCTTCTTCAAGACACTGATGATAAGGTTGGTATAATATCTTGGGTTATGACAGAAAACGTCCCCAAATGCATGATTTAACCCTAACCCTAACCTAGCCCTTGTCACTCCCTAACCTTTTTGATTACCGCTGACCCTTAGAAGGAACCCCCCTAACTACAAATCAATGGCTACTTCACTCACCCTAACCATTTTTCAATCCGAAATGTTGCTTTCAAAAATCTCACTTCGGGACGTTTTCTGTCGGCCCCAATATCTTGATATTCCAATTGGTCCTTTCTAATACAGTTCCTGTGTCCTTCAAGAATATAATATATGCTATTGTTTTTAATATCTCTAAAGATGATAATTTCAAGTTCCCTTCTATATAACTCATTGTTGGACTTGTGTTCATGTTTTGCAAAGTTAAAACTACTCAAAAAAACAGATAGATGTTTGGAGTTGTCCATAGCAGTGAGTTAGTGTTTTGTGTCTAAATATATAAAACTAGTTCTTGTAAAAGTGTATATTCTTCAAATAAAAATTCCTTTTAATCTTCCACTTCTATTTTCTGCTTTTGATTTAAATCTATTGAAAAATTAATTACAAATTATCCAGTAGAATTGGATATTTTTAATAAAAATGAATTTTATAAGAAGAATGAAACATTTTTCATATAACTACTCAGAGAAGAAAAGTATATTTATATATATTGAAATATATTTTTTCAATATTGAAATTACCCTTTAAAAGTCAGAAAGAAAGAGTTGGCTATACCTTTGAATGTTCGAAAAAGCCTGAACAGAATGTTACATGTTATAAGTGAATGTGAGTCAGTGAATGTATGTCAGTATGTGAGCGTCACTTAAGAAGGGAGTTTGACTTAGCCTAAAGCCGGGATAGTCCAGTTAACTTGATGTGAAATCACCAGGTAAATAACGACGTGGTACGATGTGGCACGAAGGTGGCAACACAGATGAGCACCGTCAAACACCCAATTAAGTAACGCTAGCAAGGTATAAAAGGGAGTGAATGTAATTGAACGATGTGAGAGACCAAGAGTACCTAAAATACAATTTTAATTTAAATTGTTCGCAATTTCGTAATATAAGCGAGAACCAAATCTTATAAAAAGCCTGTGTATTGTTTATTCAGTGATGGGTTAGGTTTAGGGTTAATAGGAAAAGTTGCAGACGTAGTAATTATTCAAGTGAGTTTCAAATTATCATTGTCTATAGCTTTGACATTGTTCAATATAATTCCGATATTGTTATGGTAAATATGGGGCAAATGGTGCACCTGGAAATAAGTATTCTTTGTTAATGAGACAAACCGAAATATCCTTTCAAAGTTGATTTTTGAGAAAGTCAAACAGTAATAAAAGGGACAAACCCTGGTTCTATTATTCTTATGGTGAATTATAGAAATAGAATAAATAGAAATATCTAAAACTGACCATCTATTATTCAATACTGAAAACATTTTAATTATGGCAAAATCTGTAATAACAGCAATTTTATTTTGTCATTCTTTTGAGATATCAAATAATGAGAATATATCATTTAGCACAAAATCATTCAAGGTAAGTTACCCTAGTAATTATAAAATCTTAGTTGGTATACTTGTAAAAAAAAGTCTTCAACAGAAAACAACAAAAGTATGTTAAATTGCGAAAAGACTTTATGCAATCTTGAAGAGAATTTGGATGAAAAAGACATTTTATCATTTGGTTAAGTATTTAGATGAAAACTGTATTGAAAATCAAATATCTTTAGCGGTAGGTTTCAGGAATCATCACTCCGAGTAGACACAAAAACATGTAATTTTTTCATAGAGTAACAATGAAACATGAAAAATTTAAGCTTTTAGAAAATTGAAACTTTTCAGTGTAGGAGAAAACTTCCACAAAGTAAGAAAGAAATCTCAATAGGTCTTTGAATATATCAAAATCATTAAAACTTAACAATGAAAGAAAGATTGATGATTAAAAAGAAGAAAATAAAAGAAATATATACAGTATATTATAGGTGAAGCTGACCTGTTAGTATGGTTCTTGGTCTAGTGTTGTTCAATATCGTTTCTAATTCTTGGAAATATTCTAGATTTGAAAGAATTTCTCATAAAAAATTTTATATGAGAATTACTTATCAATATTATCAGTGGAATGATAACAATAGGAGAAATTAGGATAAATTGTACAAGAATGATATTCTTAAAAGATATAGCATTGGTATCTAAACTGATGTGTTTAATAAGAATTGCATAGAATATCCATAACACAATAATCAACATTAGTTTACAAAATGTTATCTTTGAAGATTTTGATATAGATTGGCCAGTATGCATTTGATTTTCCATAGATCTTGCATGTTTTTTAGCTAATGATAATGTCAGAAAATGACATAATAATGATGGTAAAATTGGTCCAAAAGAGAAGAAAGAAATAACTATTACAGATGATTTTCCAATTGAAATGTTACCATAGCAAATTGATGATTTCCCTTTTGGTATTATTGCAGGAATACACGAAATGACACAACTCAACAAATTCACAAAAATTATTGCCATATTTTGAATTTTCGATTGGCAAAAATAATTATATTTGAACGGAAATCTTATTGATAAATATCTGGTTATAAACAAACCCAAAATATTGATTTGGGATTGAATATTAACCGAATTGAAAAGCGTAAACATGAACGCACAAACCAGGGGCAATTCCAATACTTGATTAAGATATCCTGTCGCTATGCTTATATTTAGAAAAAATAACCATAAAGCTAATAAAGTGTGATTAATCGTTAAACAAAAAGTAAAATATCCACAAGATTTTCTAATAACTTTAAATTTTAAAAAGAGGAAGATAACTAAACTTGATAGAATTATTCCAACAGTTAATATAAAAAATATCATTATTTTATAAGCGAAATCTTCAATATTATTCAAATCGTATATAATTTGAAAACCAATATTGGATTCATTCATTTCTAAATCCTTTTAATTCAAAAGCATAAATGAAAAAAAAAGAAAAGAAAATAAGACTTTTTCATTCACAGTGATTAAGCAGATATACACAATGAATAATTTAATGAATTTTCTGATGAATTAATGGACATTTTCTCTTATAATTATCTATTATTTATGATTAATATCAATATAACAGATTTCCAGGTAATTTGAACGAGGAAATGTCAAATTTATAGGCTACTCTTCAGGGATAAAGTTGACAATAAATTGTCTGCTGAGACCAAGAAGAAGGAGCCACCTGTCATACCTGCAATTGTTTTATTTTATAGTGAAAACAAGACATATTATAACAAAATAATAAAACCAATTTTTATTGTAAAGAAGCTGTCAACAATATTATAGTAACGACAGTAACATTGTCAAAAACAAAGAATTATTGATATAAAATTTAGTACTATCATTACATTTATCAGTTATACAATTGCAATAGGTAATTTCTATATCATGATCACTGTTATGGGTACGTTTTCCTCCACGAGTTGTACTTCTACAAGTATTATTTGACCAAAATATTTTATTTTTGCATCCTCTCCTAATGATTGTTCTCCAAGAATTAATGTTATCCTTTATTTTCCTCTTAAAACACACCTCACCAATACAAGTATTATTTAAATAAATATACTCATCAAAACAATTTTCGCATTCATAACAAACAACTTTTCCTAATACTTTCACTGTAAAAGGTAAAAGTATCACGAAAACAGCAATAGATATTAAAGATATATTCATTTTGAAAATATCTTACAAATGATCTGACATAGAAAACATTGGAGAATTAACAATTGTTGTTAGGTGATTAACATTATTAAGATTATCATATTGTGTGACAACAGCCAGAAATAGGCTGAAACAGGCTATCTATACAAAAAAAATTGATTTATTGGATTAATTCACTTTAATAATAATTGTAAGAAATATATAAAGATTAAAAGTATATTGCATCCAGCTATAATAACTGTTTCATTGCAATATGATGTTGTACATGAGCATGAGAACTGTTCTCCAAATTTATAATATTCTCTTTCTACACAGCTATTTGTTGGTACAATTATGTTATGGCAACCTCTTATTACATCTTGGAATCCATAGCCAAAAGAATATTTTTGCTTAAAACAAGACTCTCCTGTACATTTATCAAGATTCTTTGATAAATCATTACCATTTATACCATCCGCACAGAAATCATTATCAAATGAATCACAGTTATAGCATTCTATTCCATCAACACAGAGAAATTGATTTAAGAGATATAAAGTTAATAAACAGTACTCAAAGACTTTCTTACTCATCTTCAACTTATTTAATCTTTTCAAAAAAGTACAACTATATATCTTTTATTTTTTATATTTTTATACAACCACTTTATTTGCTATAATGCAATATTAGAACTGTCTTATACTGTAACTATTAAACTGGTACCATACTAATTGTTTTGACAACCATTCCATACAAAAATGCCTATAGAATTAAATCATTCCAGGTGCTCGTTGAAATACAAGTACATAGGGATTAAAAATATGTTCACAACTATGAATAGTGTCCATTAAACCGTCAAGGAGCTTAATTTTGTTCAAAAAACTATTTCTTTAAGCATTAGTTTATCTTGTGAGTAAATACTTTTAGAATGGATTAAATGCTATTAAAATTGAGTGTTTATGGGATAAATCGTCCCTGGGAAAATTTTTGTCCTCATTATGGAAAAATTGTCGCCATTTTGTAAACTGGATTAAAAGAAAATATTTATGATATAGTTTATACACTTAAAAATAGTGACATATTAATTTAGATTGTAGATTTATGTTATCTTTGTTTGATGATTTTCTATCATTAAATTATTGAATTTCTCTTGTCCTATTATAAATCAATATTTTATGATACCAAGTAAACTAGAATTATAAATAGTACTACTTAACTGTTCTATATAATAATCAGTTTTTTCTATATAATCAGTTGAAAATAGATAGATAGTGATTTTTATCAATTAAAAACAAATATTAACTTTGTCTCTATGCTTAATTTCATTCTTTTTTCATTTGGGAATAGTCTTTTTAAAGAATGTTTATTAGTTTTAAAAAACTGCTTATTTGGATATTGATTACAAGCCAACTGTTCACTTTAGTTTTGACATCAAATTTGTTGCTTTTAACACCTCCAGTTACCAAGTACTTATCAAAGAGTCATGCCGATAATATGGTTGTCCTTGGGAAAGGTTTAATTACATCTCGACATAAAGTTAGTATTCTACGTCAAGGAACTGTTCGAATTGATAATCCGGGTAATATTTCACTATTTGACGTACATTCACCACTTTCTGAAGAAGCTGTTGAGCTGATTGGTGAAAGTATGAATAGGGCTAAGGTTGAAATGTTATATCAAAATGTATCTTAACTATCTATGGATAAAAATTTCAAACCAATGTGGGATGGTTTTCTTGATGATTGTAAAGAAATGTTGGCTGATCCAACTATTGAAAAAAGACTAGATGAATTTGATTTATTCGTAGTAGATTATTTTTACTTTTGTGGTTTCTTATTGGCAGAAAAGTATAAAAAACCATTTGTTGTCTTTGAATGTACTTCCTACTGTACATATTCACAAGCTGTTGTACCATCACCAATGTCATGGGTTCCAACATTCCTTAGTCATTTAAATGATAGAATGACAGTTGTTGATAGAGTGAAAAGTGTTATATCCAATATCTTTCTATCCCTTTTTATGGTGGTAATGGATAAAAATTTTGAGAAATTAAAAGCAGAATTGAAAATTTCACCTGAGAAAAGTTTAACAACAATTCGACAACAAGCTCAAATATTTCTTGTAAACTCAGATCCAATATTTGAATTTCCTCGTCCTCTGACTCCAAATATAATACAAGTTGGTGGTATTTTAGCATCTCAACCAATAAATGTGACAAATATTGATCCTAAATTTGATGAAATTTCATCTAAAAAGTAAATAAACACTTTGGTTAAATATTTAATTTAAGTGTTAATTTTGCAGATTTGGTATAATTGCTTTTGGAAGTTCTTTAGATTTTTGCAGTCATCCAAAATTATTGGCAAATATTTATAAAATTCTTATTGAATTTTCAGATATTCACTGGGTTTGGTCATTAAAATGCAAATTGGATAAAGATTATCCAAATATTCATACTTTTAAATGGATTCCTCAAACCTATCTTCTAGCTAAAGAAAGCTGCGTTCTATTTATATCTCATGGTGGTCTTAATTCCATATATGAATCTATGTATCATGGTGTTCCAGTTTTGACTATTCCACTTCCGGCAGATGCTATAGACAATTCAGTTCGTTTGAAGAGACACGGAATGTCGGAAATTTTACCTTTTCATACAAAAGATATGTCATTCCTAAAAGAATACATAGCTAAAATGGTGAATGATAATTCATATGTAAAATCAGCCAAGAGAGTGTCCTCCCTTCTCAAATCTCTCAAACCAAAACCATTAGACAAAGCTGTATACTGGATAAATCATGTATTAAAGTTTGGTGGTAGTCATTTAAGACATTCTGCAATGGATATGCCAACCTATACACTTTATAATATAGATTTATTTCTAATTTTAGTAATTTTATGTTTTTTAATTATTTGGTTAATTAAAAAGCTATTTTCCAAATTTTGTTTAATAAAGTGTTTTAGCTTTTTCAAAGCAAAAAGAGATTGAAAATAAAAATTAATAGTATTTGACCTAGATTGCAATACAATTTCTTTACTGTGAGATAATTTAGCAAGAGTTTTAGCACAATAAAAATAAGGCACACAATTCTTCATAAAGCTGTTTTGCAGTAAAATGAACAAGACAACTTTTTCAGGGAATTTTTTTAAGAATTTATTCTCTTGAACATGAAAAACTTGAATAGTTTGATAACTAACATATTATCTTGTAGTAATTTATGAATAATAATTTAAGACCCCCTTGAAGCAGAATTTTAATTAAGTGTTACTTTAAAAATGATTGTTTATCAGCCTCTCTGTCTGAAGAGTGCACTTTTGCTTGTTTAATTCTTGATTAACAAGGATAAATATAACATTTTTACTTGTCTCTCTAATAATGTCGTATTATATTCATTTGATTTGATCCATTCTTGATGAAATGCCAGCTGGACAACAATGACATTCTAGCCTGTAGTTGTCTTAGTGAGAATGCCAGATTTCCTATATTACTGACTGATGGAAATGGACTAGAAATTGGTGTAGGTAAAGTTGATAGGGAAAGTAATTTAAGCATAAAACAAAATCTAGAAAATGACAAAAAACAAAATATTTTGAAATATGTATTTATGACAGAATTTTGTAAGGAATTTCTACTTTGCAGTTTTTGTATTTTCAAGAAATTTAGAATACAAAATGTCATATTTTGATATAAGAACACGTGACCTGTGCGTGTGTAAGGTGATGCATAAAAATTTTTATCAAGATAATAAAAATGTATTTCATAATGATGAAACATAAAACAACGCCAATGATGTCATTTTCCAACGATCACTATGAAGATTATATGTTGTCTCAATTGATAAGATATCACCCTGTTCCAATTTCAATAATCCACCTCTACTCATACTTTCAACTCCAGATCTAGGTCTCACTCTTTGCATTGATAACTGTTGTGTAGCATTTACCATTACACGTACTACTGCTTGTGTAACTGGCATTGTTCCAACAGATACATCAATGTGATATAAACCCGAAACTGCAACCTTGTATGTATTATCCGAAGAATTCCATGCAGAATTTGTGTCCAGAACAACTTCATCATAACCAATTTTTACTCTTCTAAATGTTGTTAAATTTGTCGTTCTGTAGGCATAAAATGCTGGAGTTTCAACAGTTGCAGTTAATTGAAATCCTGCTATATAGGTATACAAAACACTTGATCTTGACATTCCTTCAATTAATGTTAATGATATTCTATCCATTTCATTAAGTTCTATAATAATTCCTCTAGATGCTTGATTTTTTCGTGAGCTTGTATGATCTTTTACTATAGATCTCTCAAAGGATATTGAAACACCATTTAGTGTTAGGCTTACTACACCTCTAGTGAAAGTTTGAAAACCTGTACCAAAATGAATAAAATACCATCCCTTTGACAATACTGTTAATTCTGTTCTGGCACTATTTATAGATGCACCTCTTAGAGAAACAACCTTAGGAAGTGGTATTTGATTTCTCAAGTTGAAAAAAGCTATATCTGTTCCAACAAAAAATACATTATCAGATTCGCACATGAAACCTGACCAAGATGTTTCAGAGCCAAGTTGAGTGCCAATAGCTCTCACAGCAAAATCTGACGAAATATCTGGCTTTGAGAGAGAAGTTAGAGAATATATTCCAGATCTAGTAAAAAGTGTCCCTATAATGGCTTTTTTCTTGAGAAAGACCAACTTCAACGCCCAATTTGTTACCTCTTAATAAGAAATTTGTTACACTATTAACATGTGAAGTGGCAGTATTTGAAAGATAATAAAAACCATTTTCAACTATATTCAATTCATTTGTAGATGCATTGAATAAATTTCCATTATCATAATTTACTCTGTGCCATATGACCTTATCATTTTTGTGGTCCTGCTCAATGAAACCATAAATGCAGGTTTTTTCTTTAAATCGCAAGGAGGATTTAAACAAAATTCAACATCTACTGAACTTCCTGGACATTCATCTCCCCCATTTGAAGGGGGTGGATTTGTACAAGTTCTTGTTCGGGTTCTTAAACCATCTCCTCAGTCTGGTTCACATCTACCCCATTCTGATCATTCGGACCATCCTCCAGGCACAGGACATTGCAATTCTTCGGCAGAAACACATACTCTTGCCGAACATTCGCGGATATTTAATGATGGACTAAAGAAATAGCCTTGGGGACATTGCTGAGGCCAAGCAACTCCATTATTACAATGATAGTATTGTCTACAATCGTTTTTATTAGGGACGTTCCATTTTGACCATCTTCACAATCATCATTTTTCATGTAGCACGGTTTCTCAAATGTATTCACTACGTCACCAGTTTTAGAGCATTCCGGAGCATAATCTGACAAAATCGTTTCTGATGAACTTCCACCTGGACAATCAGCCAAATGTGGTTCAACACACAAAGAATATTTACAATTAGTTAGAGAAATTGTAAACAAAAGTCCAGGTGGACATTGTTGAGGATGAGCTGTACCATTAATGTAATGATAATAAATTCCACAAAATTCTGGGTCAGGATATGAACCATCTACTGGTTTTAATTCAGAATTAACTGGACAAACAAAATTTGCATAGTTCCATTCCACCAATGATACTAATGCAAAAAAGTTAACAAGGTTTAGCAAATAGTTTGTTAATTATTCAAAATTATTTTATAAAGGAATTAAAGACCTACCAATTAAAGTAATTGTGAATAAAAGTTTCATCTTTCTTGCTGGAATTCTTCAAAAACAATATAATCCTTGCCTTTTTATACAAATATTACTTTTGCTATCTTGATCATCAATAAAAAATTTATAATTTTTATCTTTCTCCTCCATTTTTACAACTATTCAGGTATTGAAGAGGAAAGGCAGTAGATAAGATGTATAACTTAGCACTAAAAAATAACAAAAAGTTGGTATTTTATCATCACCCTTCACTTGAATTTTCAGATAATAAACTTCTTTAATAGTTTGGAAAAGTATTATACATTTCTAGTTATTTTGCAATTCTCTACTGGAATATCATATATGAGAAACATTAGATTAACAATATCACAGTGACCAACTAAAATGTATAACTATTGAAGAATTTTCAATTTAAATTTGGATAATCGTATACAAATTGGATTTAATCTTTATTAGTCTGATATGAGGGAATATTTCAACTCAAAAAGATTGATTAAATAAATAAAAACATTTGAGATTTATAAAAGAGTACTTGATTCAGATTTTCTATTATCTACAGAGGTCAAATGTCAAAATCCAGGGTAATCTATCTAGAACAATTAGATTTGCTGCTGGCAGATGTAGTTCACAGACGTGTATGATTAAAAGAAAACTATTTAAACTTGGTTTTAGTCTGGGTCCTTGGGAATTTTTTGGATCTATTAAAATCCTTTTCATTGAATTTTCCTTATCAAAGAAAATTTCAGGTAGTTCAACAGCAGTGAAGAGGTAGGCTTAAAACAGTGTTTACAACCTTTTTAAAGCTGTTTTCTCTTTGGAAATTACTTTCCAGTCCTCAATCAAACGATAAGGAAGACAAAAAAGAGTGTGGCGTTAAGTGTCTCGCTGAGGGAAGAAAAGGAGAAGATTGCAAGAAACCAGATTGTAGTGAGTGTCAAAATGGCGGCACATGTCAATTGGATGAAAATTGTTCGGCAAAGTGTTCGTGTACACAAGGATCTACAGGAAAACATTGCGAAAGGTCAGTCCCAAACAGAAATTGGGGAGATCCACATTTTCAGACAATAGATGGAAGAAATTTTGATTTTTTTGGAATTGGACAATTTTGGGGTTGTAAATCAGAGTTTCTATCATATCAATACAGACTGTTTGGCTTTAAGAGGACATCATTTATAGGTCAAATTGCTCTTAAAGTTGGAAAAACTTCTGTATTAACGATAACAACAATACCCAAAAGTTCTATAGACGATTTACCTATCAATCGCTTGGATGGAGCCATTCTAACAAATGATCAACTGAACACTAGTTTATTGTTTGACAATAAAACAATTAGACTAGATATATCGATCACTTCGAATAATGTTAAAAAATCAAATCCAACTGTTTTACTATTATCTTTAAAACATAAAAATGGAGCGTCACTCTTCATAGACGCTTTTTACAGTTCATCAATGAGAAGACAATATCTAAGTACATCTTTAACATCGGTAAAAGAAATGATGAATAAAACATCGGGATTGTGCAGAGTGATGAATAATAACCCTGATGATGATTTCACTGGAAGCAATCAATCTATATTTCAATCATCGAATGAATTTGTTGAATCTTGGAGAATCAATATAACAATTCGCAATAATGGAGGATTATTAAATTCTTGGTCAGATACTGACTTTCATAAAGATGATTCAATTGATAAATCTTATATTGATATTACTCACACACCAATTATATCACTAACTGGATTTACGCAAAAGGCAATTAACAGAGCAAAAGAAATTTGCTCTATCGGTGAAGGGGAAATGACAGATTTAATGAAAGATCAATGCGTTTATGACGTTGTAATAACTGGTGATGAAAGTCTCAGTAAACAAACAAGTTTGCAAGGTTTACTATGTGAAAATCAGTGTTCAGATAGGGGTAGTTGTATAGATGGTTTTGCTTCTGTATAGATGGTTGGTCTGGTAGTAGTTGCCAATATGGAACATGTGAAAAATGTATTGAAGGCAAATGCGAAAATGGTTTTTGCAAATGTAATCTTGGTTTTATTGGTTCGTTTTGTGATATTAAAGCAGAATGCAATGGAAATTGTTCCAACAAAGGTCTCTGTGTAGATGTTGATGTTTGTCAATGT